CGGTGCTCGATACCATCCATGCCGCCGCCGACTGACAGTGTGCCGCCGCTGCCGGTATCCCAGATGCTTCTTCTCGCCCTGCCGCGGCCGCCGCCGCCGCCCCCGCCGTGGCTGCTTGACTGGGATCGTCGAAGCGGGGCGTGGACGGCGGGAGAGTTGGGGTCGGCCCGCCTGGTCGACCCGCTACCGTTGGGGACGTGCGTGCCGCCGCCGCCGCTGCCGTCGTCGAAGTCGCGGCCGCCGCCAAACTGCCGGCTACCCAACGCCGGAAGCTGCCCCGGGCTGGCGACAATAAACCATCCAAGGTGGTGAGGGCGCAGCGACGGTTGTGTGTTTTCCGGTGTCAGGGGGTGGGGGGAGGGACGGGGGGACAGAACGGACAGAACAACGAATGGAAAACTAAAGGTTGTGTATCGTACATATTGTTCATCGGACGTGCCTCTGGAGTCGCCCTGCTGCTGCCCAGGTGGCGCGCGAGAGAGAGCGGAAGTGGCTGCCTTTGTGCGTCGCTGTTGCACGACCTCGCTCTTTCTCATTGTTGCGGCTTCGTTGTTTCAAAGGACGCCACGCGAAAAAAACGCCAAGTCGCCTCCACAAGCACATCCCACCCTCCACAGAGTAAGGCCAAAAACATATGCCGTGCTTCAATTCAACACAACAAAATACAGGACACAACACAACCAACGCGAACTAGACGCGTTCTTGCTCGCTTGAAAAGAGAAAACACGTCCACAAATATCCACAAATATTGTGCCACCAACTTCCAGAATCATGTCGTCCACGTCGGCACCCCCCGTCCCCACAAAATGCCAGCACAACCACCTGCATACCAAAATTCACACCGTCCACCTCTGTCCCTCCCCCCCGTCGCCACAAAATCCCAAAACGCACGACCACCTACCTAATCATGTCGTCCACTTCTGCATCCCCGTCCTCGGGTATCTGTATCGGCCGCAGAGAAGGAGGAGGCTTAGGCACGTCGTCGTCCTCGCCGCCGCCGCTGCTGCCCCTCCTTACGCCCCGCCGCGTTGCTAGCTCCTCCGCCGCTTCGACCGCCGCTTGTTCAGCTTCCGCCGCCGCCGCCTTTTTTCTCACGAGACCACACGTCGCAGGCAGAAATGAGGAAGGTGCAGGAAGGAGCCAACGAAACAAAAACAACAACAACAACAACAACAACAACACGGTGCATACTAGTTTCGTGCGAGCATATAATGTTATAGTGTATGTTGGACAACGCAGGTAGATTTGCCACACCCATCACAATTGATTCCCGGGGAAACCAAACAGGCAATACTAGGTACGCCCAGGAGGATGGCTGCCCTGCCTGTTGAACAACTTTCCACCACCGCCGCCGCCGCCCCCAAACGCACACGCGCATATACACACACACCGAGGGAACCCGATGGCTACAAACCGTTAAGAGTCGCGCGATTCTGCTAGTTCTACCGTACCCCGTAGACAACCCTGGCGGTCTTTAGCTAGCATGCATCCACGGTCCAAACCTGCCACACAGCAGCATCGCTCCCAATACGACAGCCGCAGACGACACACGCCACGCCAATGGCCAAAAGCCTGCCACGCAGCAAACACCGCTCCCAATACGACAGCCGCAGACGACACACGCCACGCCAATGGCCAAAAGCCTGCCACGCAGCAAACACCGCTCTCCCAACACACACAAACCAGAAAGAAAGACACCGCAGACAACACTCCACGCCACTCCACGCCACTCCACGCACCTTCGCAGCGGCGGCCGCCCTCCTGGCCCTTCTCCTGGCCTCCTTGGCCTCCTGCTTCAGCACCTCCTCATCCCCCTCGTCCACGCTGCGCGGGAACAGCAGCGGCTGCCGGCAGATCTCCACGAACAGGTTGGAAGGGTCCGTGTTGTAGAAGGGCGGCGTCCCGAACCGGAAGACCCAGAGGCACACCCCGGCCGCCCACACATCGGCGGCGAAGGCGTTGTACGTCCCTTGCCGTTGCAAGCTTTTTGCCGCCCAGGGGTTGGTTGAAAGGAAGGGAGGAGGCGGAATAGTAGGGGGGGGGGGGGGGGGGGGGGG